AGTTAAACACCAAGAACATAACTAAACTCATTCAACAACTTTCATCAGAAAAGTTTAACTCCATTCACGGACTGTTTTGGTCAACTTAAACATTTTAGTTTTCAAAACTGTATTAGTTGTAAATAGTTCAGGTTCATACCTTTAAAATGACTACTTGCACATCACCATACGATTTTTCTACAATTTATGGTGATTTTTACAAAACTGTCTATCATTTCAGAAACGAATTCGGACCAGTCTGTGAATATGAACATTTTAACACAAGGTAAAGACTTCTAAAAATCATAATAAAAATTATAAATAAACTAGACACATTTTTTGAACTCTCAGAATTTACGGATTTAGTTTTCGACTTCGTATGATTTTTCTATGATTTTTCTAAAAACAGTGCAGAACGGTTAAAAACTAGTTAACAGCTTATAACTTTTCATAACACTTTGTATTATGTTGAGCAAAGTGTATAACAATAAGTTCTAAATATTGAATGTATTTGTTGTTAGTTTATCATCATAAACTTAAATTTTAGTCATTCATGATAAGATTTCTTCATTTATTTCGAACACATATAATAAACTACAATAAGCATAGTTTATGGATTTTATTCCCATAGAAAAAGGTTTTACACTCACGCACACCACACGTAAGCTTGTTAACGTAATTGTGAGACATTCCTTTTAGTACTCCTAGGGTACAGGTTAAAATTCCTGGTAGTTATAAATGGGTTTTTCATATACTACATAATAGTAATAGTTTATGGACTCATAGCACTAATGTATTTTCATAAAAGGGGTTCTTTTACAGTACAAACGTTTTGGATAAACTATAATAGGTATAGTTTATGTATCATTTACATTTCAAACTCATTTACCAAAGGTTTTCAGTTCAGTTCACGTAAATCTGTTAATGAATAAATTTGTGAGACATTCGCTTCGCGTTACCTTCATAGTAACAAAGTCAAAAGTCCTGTAAATTGTAACCAGAGTCTCTTGTAGGGAGAGCGTGATAGTTGTGTATAGATCTATATTGGGTCTGACAAGCCCGCACCTAAGCTGCATACAATAGCTAGACCGGCAGGTCTGAGGTGACAAGTGTCATTTAACTTGCGACGCCTGAAGAACGTCGTATTACGAGGCCGTCTGAGTCTTAGCATGGTTATAATAGCTCACATGTGGTATTAACAAATCATAAGATTTACGGGTTTTACTTTCAAATTAAAAAGGGTTTTATGTCGATTTAAAATCACTTTTTAGCGAGTTATGTCAATTTAACTCACATGAATTACTTTAAGTATGGAAAAATACTTGTTTATTTTCGGTCCTGGGATTTAGGACTACATAACTTTTATAAAGAAAATATTGGATTTTCTGGAAACATACTTCGTCGCTTTTACAAAGAAAACGGTTTCTTTCTCAAATAAAACTCTTATGAACTCACCAACTTAATTGTTGACACTTTTTCAAACCTACTTGTATTCTCAGGAAATCAGTGAAACAGGAAATCAACAGCATTTTGAGGATGGGACGTTAAATCGTCAAACAGTTCATTTTGTCATCATAATGTAATTGATTTGAAACATGTAAACATATACTTTGGTGTAACTTTTTCAATTATATTTATGATGGTTGTATTTACTTTAAGCACTATTATACTCGTTGTTGTGATACTATACATGAAGTCCTCCACCCCCGGACGTTTCCGCCATCCTTGGTTTGGGGGTGTGACATTTCTGCATGTATATGGATGAAAGAGAGCCTCAAACTTTCAAAAAGGAATTCACTTCCTTTGACATATGTCAATGAAAAGAGGCAATTAAAAGTGAAATGGATTCTATCTTGCAAAATCATGCATGAAAGCTAGTGGATATACCTCTAGGATGTAAGCCACTAGGTTATATACTATGTATTTTCAAGAGGAAAATGAAAGAAGATAGATCCAAAGAATATGAGAATCAGTAGAACATAATGGTCTATGATTTCAAAAGAAATATGCATCGCTTTCTTGTTTGGAAATTTAGAATCAAATGAGAGTTCTATACTCCAAAAAGCTATTTCCATTAAATCCAATAATATTGATTGAAATTCATCAAAACAAGATAAAGGTTTTGATGAATATTAAGATATTCAAAATGAAGTTGAAAAGACTATGAATGGAAATATGTGTATTCTAAATTTGAATTCTTATGATCATTTCTTAGAAGATCATATTAGATTAAGTTGTAAAACTAATAATGGTTCTATCGTTTGAATTATCGAGCTTGAAAAATCATTGCGTTTTAGTGGGTTTTCAAATGAGAAGTAAGAGTTGATGATATTTTTGAAATATATGTTTGGATTACAAATATAAGAATGTCTTGATTAATTTAATATGTATGCTCTTATAATTATACGTGGTTGTAACTTCTCAAAATTTGGAAGCATATCATTCTGATATGAAACTAAAACTTCTAAACATAGTTTTACAAGTATAAATCTACATGGAACTCCCAAGCGGTTACCTTACCCGAGGGAAAGCAACAAAATGTATGAGTCATAAAGTCATTATCTGATTTAAGCAAGATTGGGAAAAACGAGTATCAAAAGTTCGAATATGTCGTTGAACATCAGTGGATGTGATGAAATAGATCCATATAAGTGGCACTTTAAAGTGATATTTTATTTTATGACATAGTATGATCCTTAAGATAAAATGCCTAAGAGAATTTAACATGTAGATGTTTAAGGCAAGCAATTGCATGGAAAAATACGATATTTGCAAGAAAACTCATGTATGGAATATTCATAATTACATCTGGCCAATGTTATTGTAGATTAACATATACATGTAGTACATATGTTTATCGTATTATGTTGACACAATTATGCATATTCAATAGTGGTATCTATGGTGTAGTAATAATCATATTGATAATGTTGATTGGAAAATATAGGAGAACAAATTTCCAAGCTTATCCAAGGTTGGACAATGAACTAAAGGGATTTGTAAGTTCTTTGGAGACATCCCATGATGAGCCAATAACCCCTATACATGTACATGATGATGTAAAAAATGGTGAGTCTATACATATTTGTCAAAGACATAACAACAGTCAACAACGACTCTCAAGATGAATTATCTTTAATGACTACATAAAGTCAAAATAAGATTGCGGATCTACTAACGAAATGCTTGGAATGAGAGGTCATTATGAGGAATGGGACTAAAACCCATAGATCAATAAGTTATTGCGAAGGAAAACCCAACCTAATTGACTGGAGATCCCAAGACCTAGGTTCCATAGGACAACCTACTTACATATAACATTTGTGAATCATTGTGGGGGTCAACCCCAACCCATTCCTAAATCATTGTGGGGGTCAACCCATTCCTAACATTTGTGAATCATAATGAATTAGCTTTTAATGATTATTATAAAATCACCTATGTGAGAGAGAAGTGGGGTCGCTTCAAAAGGAATTGTATGGGCACATTCCTAAGAGCTCTTACAGAACCAGGAAAGTGTCCATGACCATAACGGATCAATGAGAAGTTAACTAGGTCAGGGAGAATCATGTGAGACACATATTGATTATTTACACAAACGACATAACAGTTCAAGGACATCGAGTCTACTGGTCAGCTAGTAAAATAAATATTTATCTTAAGGGAAGGTTCAAAGGGTAACACCTACTTATCCATGTATGATTCAACTGCTAGATTTTATCTAAGTAACTTGAAAATGTTTGATCAAGTTCAATTCACGTGGGGGATTGTTGGAAAAATAACTGGTGAATAGAAACTAATCATTAAAGTTAAGGGGTTGAATACTGTATAATCGAAAACTGATGTTCAATTTTTTGTTACAACTCGTAATTAAGAACGATATTAAATATAATGTCGGTTACAAATTATGTTTTAATGACAATTTAATTGTTTTTTGGTTATGGTTTGGTAGTATAAATACAACCATTCCTCAACCATTTGAGACACACCAAGAATGCAACCAAAAATCTCTTCTTCTCCATTTCGTCTTCTTCATTTTTTTTTCATATCGAAAGTATAATCTAGGCCTATTGAGGGTTCGGGTGGTCTTGAAGAGCCACTTCAAACTGTTGTATCATGGGAAACAAACACCTGGTAGCAGATGAATTTGTTTTAAGGACAATGTGTTAAACAAATGCTTCAGTTTTTCAGTTTTTTCTTTTTTGTTTTCGTACATTACCGTGATATTATTCCTACATAATTTAATCAATTGGCTATTTGGATCAATGAGCAAAGGGCGTTACATTGCATAAGGGCGATTATGGATATAATTCCGGGTACGTTACTTTGGGTGTTATGATTGTATCAGAACAATGTTGTTTATGGCAGGAAGACTTACAAGAAGGATTGGTTGTTTGATGATTTGATGTCTTTTTCATTTATTTGGTTTTCTTTTAGAAATTGTAAGTCTAGATTTTTTTTATAGCATGGTTGCAAAACCCACTGTTGAACTAGTTGTTTTTGTTTGCTAGCCTCTAGCTAGATGTTTATATTATTGATGTCGTTCCAAAAAATTATTGTTTGTGGACTTGTTAAAGGATGTTATTGGCTCTATGTATAATGACTAATTTTCTGATCTTTTTGCCATGAATTTCATTACAAGTACGAAAGTATCATCTGACAAATAAAAATTTGATATATTTCATTATCATCTTAAGTGGCTTCTACATGAGAAGTCTATGTTCATCCACTTTGCTATCTTATCAATCACTTTTACAAATAACCTGATTCCCTAATTATCATATATAAGTTTGGCCTAAAGTTTAGAATCATTTCCATCAATAAATTATACACATTTCACCTCACACCTACAAATCATTTTTAGATTCCCAAAAGTCCACCACCATGTTTGACTTGAAGGTTTAAGGGCTACTTTACGTATGGTTTTCAAATGTAAGTTGTTCTAAGAATTAACGTTTTGTAATGCTTCAATCTAATATTCCACTTTCTTATCGTCACGATTAAAGTCTGTCCCTGCCAACATGACCATCACTGCTTCGTTTTGGAGCTTGTGCAATCTTTTCGGCCAACTTAAGGTTAATTAGAAGTACAATTTTTTCAATTTCGGATTAAGTAATAGAGATAATAAAATATAGGGATAATGACTTAAAAGGGTAATATATTTTTCAATTTGTACACATTTGGTCACTACATTTTTTATTTCGTCTACATTTTACCCTTCAACTTGTTAAACTGTACACATCCAGTCCTTATGACCGATTACTCCAGGTTAGCCGAGAAAAATGACTTAATAGGGTAATATATTTCTCATTTTGTACACATTTTGTCCTTAATATTTTTGTACACATTTAGCCATTAATATTTTTTTCTTTCAAAATAAGTCATTTTTGTTTTTGTACTCATCTAGTACTTATGAATGATTTCTTTAGGTTTTTCTCACGACATCTTACGTGGGACAAACAATGATAAGGTGTTCGGGGTTGTTGATGATTATGTCCATCGCGATCTCGACTGCTTGGTTACGTAGGTCTTGTGGTTTGGCTTAGGTCTTGTGTTCTGAACTTCGTAATACGATATCAGATTGTAACAATCGTTATATCCACATGTTCGGTTTTTGAGTCTACTATAACTTTCGTTAAGATTACTCCCGTTAAAATGTAATATATTTTTATTTACGATTTTATAAAAAAACATCTATACATGCATTCATAAAAAACGTATGAATATAAAGATCTTAAGTACAAATATATTATTTTGTAACGGGAGTAATCTAAATGAAAGTTGTAGTAGACTAAAAGATGAACACATGGATATGAAGATCGTTAAAATCCGAGATTGTATGAAGAAGTTATGACGTTCAGAACACGTGACCTAAGCAACCAAGTAGTCGAGATCGTGATGGACATAAACATCAAAAGTCCCAAACACCTCATTAATGATTGTCCCACGTAAGATGTCATGAGAGAAGAACCTAAGGAAATCATTCATAAGTACTGAATGAGTACAAAGAAACAAAAATGACTTATTTTGCAACAAAAAAATATATTAAGGACTAAATGTGTACAAAAACATTAAGGACAAAATGTGTACATGTAACACCCGATGGTTCCAAGGTATTATTTATTTATTTATTTAATCATTTATTTTATTGTCAAAGCATGTAAGTTATGTTGGACTTAGAGGATTTGGGCCTGTATGTGTGGGCTTAGCTGAGGTCGTACGCTGGGCGTAGAAGGATCACAAGGAAACGCGGAGGCATGCACAAATGTGCAACGTACAAGGTTGTACGCGCAGCGTACGTGGCCAAACTCATAACCCTAATTTCTAGGGTTCAAGCCATATATAATATCATTAAGTCCCATGTGTTATCCTCCTTATCAACCTCTATTGTCCAGAAACCCTAATATTGAACCCTTTATCATCTTGGTGTGTTCTTGACCTTATGGGGTGCATTTTTGGTAGTTTGGTGCCTTGGAAGGAACAAGAAGAAGTTGGTGAAGGAGAGTTGTTGGAGTTTGAGCTTGAAGATCCGGGTTATCATCATCATTTGGCATTCATTTGAGGAATAAAGCTCAGAACTTGCTTTGTTAATGCTTAGATCCCATTTGTTTGAGTTTTTGGACCTTTTTGGTCACATGGATGAGATCTTGTGGATTATTGTCATTTCTGAAGCTTAGAGTTGCTACTATTGGTGTTCTTTTGGTCCTATAGTCATAAAGTTGCCATATTTGGAGCTTTGAACCACCCATACATGAGGTTGAGTTCATTTGATGGAAGTAATGTGTGATATTCCAAGATTGGGTTCATTTGGGGCATGCAAAGCCACCAAGTTCACGACTTTATGGTTTAAGATACTTCATATGACTCAGATCTGTGATTGGGACCCTTAGTATAAAGGATTTAAGAGCTTATTGGAAATATGGCTTAATGAGTGAGTAAGTTGGGCGTACAAGCTCGTACGCGCAATGTATAAGCCATGCAGCCTGTACGCTTAGCGTATAGCTGAGTACGCCCCGCGTACTCAGTGAATTGGGCTTTGCGTCTTTTGGGCTACTTCCATGGACATTGCTATTTTGGACCTTAGTGGGCCATCTGAAATCGAACCTTTGGGCTAGGGGAGCATTTTTGGGCCTTGGGTTAAGGCCCATGTGAAGGGATTGGGGCCAATTGGAAATTGGGCCATATTTTGGGCCTTGATGGGTTGTTTAACTTATGGGCCGATTGGACTGTGGTTAAGGGCTTCATTCTTGGACCAAGTTATGTTGGGGGGTAAAATAGTCTTTTTACCCCAAGTAGGGATTTTTGGTTATGATGTAGATCCCAAATGTTAATTAGCTTTTATTTGGCAATTGATAGCTCGGGGATCTGTAGGACCAGCAGTCAGGGATCATTCGTTTCATTTAGCTTTTCGAGGTGAGTTTCCTCACTGGGTTTAGCAGGTCTAAGGCACCAAGGCCGACCCTTGATTGGTTATGTTGATATACTTGTTGTCTGTGTGATACTTGTATGTGCTTGTATATGTATGTTTATTTGGGTGGGGCTCGTATTGCGAGTGTGGGCGGGGGCCGTTATGCGAGTGTGGGCGGGGCCCGTTATATGAAATGTTTGGTATGCGGTATCTTGGGAAACTCACTAAGCTCTGTGCTTACAAGTTTTTAGTTTATATTTCAGGTACTTCCAGTTCTAAATGGAAGAGCTTGGGGTTTACTGCATCGCACACACCATATGTATTCTGTTTATGAGACATACTCTAATTTTTATCATGATTGACATATTTATTTGATCGGGATGTATGAACAATGTTTTGGAAATACTGTTTTTACTTAAATTGAAAATGAAATTTTTGGGTCATAATTTTTGGATGTTTCAATACAAAGTGAGAAATATACTACCATATTAAGTCATTTTTTACTAGCTAACCTGGAGTAGCTGGTTATAAGGACTGAATGTGTACAGTTTAACAAGCTGAAGGGGGGTAATTGTTGACGAAAAAGAAACTCAGTGACCAAATATGTATAAATCGAAAAATGCATTACCCTTTTAAGAGTATCCTTAAAATATAAGGTTGCATTAGTAAAAAAAAATATCATTATTTTAACTGACTAAACCTATAATAACAAATCATGTTGCTTGTTATGAAGATTTCTTTTATAAAAAACAAATTTAGTTTATCAAAAAAAAAAAAAAATTATTAACAAACTGTAAAAAATATAATATATGATTTTTATGTAATTTATAATTATTATCTTCAAAATAGAAAACAACCATATGTTTATCAAAACCACCCCAGTCACATTCAACCCCAAGCAAAACGTTACAAATATACTATTTGTAACCATAAAAATAGAAATAGTAAAATGTCAATAAAAGGTAAAGAAACGAGCGGCCAAATAAAAGTCTGCTGCCTTGAGAGAGACATGAGAGCCAAAGATCCAAACCCTAATCAATTTTATAGTAAATTACCAAAACACCCCTGGGCCTCTCATCCTCCACTTTACCACCACCACCACCACCATCATCATCATCATCATCATCATCATCAAGGTTCCAGCCTCGCAAGTAACAAATTGTTGCTGTCCCTCCTCAGGAGAAACTCCCCCTCACGCGCACGCAACGCGCCGCCTTAGATTCCTCTCTCAACGCCAGATTCATCGGAAAACTTCAACTACTGCTTCTACTTCCCCAACAATCGATTAATTTCCCGTTGCTCAACGTATTTGAGTATATTCTCGTCGTTCCTTTTTTTGCCCTAATTTTGCTTTCGTCATTCCAGGGTAATAATTCATTCGTTAGTTTTTATTATCTTCTTATTGTTTATTTTAATCGATGATTCTTTGGATTTTTCTGAAACTCCTATTTGCAACTTGTCATTGATAATTAATCCCCCAATTACTATTTATTCTTTCTCTCTAAACCGTCCATGATTATATGCGTTTTTCTTTATGCTTTTTCAATTTGGATGTTTTGGTGAAGGATAAAGGAAAGGTCCTAAGGAATTGTCTTGGTGGAGCCGAGCCTGCAATTTGGTGCGGGCTGCTGTCGTTATCAGGAAAGCTGGAAGAGCTGTTCGTGAGAGATGTTGTTGGCTTTGAATCGAAATGGTGTTCATTTGATCAACTGCATCCTTCATTTTTCTGAATGGCATCCTTTGGAATTCAGCCACAAATCCAATTAGCTAGGGCATAATCGCCCCCTTAATCTCGGTATCAGGTAAACACAATCAAATTAAACATCTGGCTTTTTATATTCATGTTCATATTGATTTGAAGTTGAATCCACCTCATTTGGTTCTCAATTTCTTAAGTCAATCTCTTATTCCCAGTCTCATAAGCCTTAAACATATGAAACCTGGTCGTTTCATGGTTGTTTAACTTGAGACTTATTTTGTTTCTTGTGCAGGTTTTGTTCTATTGAAGCTAGTAAAGTGTTTTGCTAGATCGTTAAAGTTATTATAGTTCAAGTATATCCATGTTTATCAAGGGATACTCTATAGCAAGTGTGGCAGAAATGGGCTGTTGTGGTTGCTTTGGATTTTCATTAAGAAAAAAGCACAAAAAGACTCGGCCCAGGACACACATTGGGAATCACATTTCACAGGAATTACTTCTAAATGAAGAAGCAGAAGAAGAAGAAGAGGAAGAACACGAAGAAGAAGAAGAAGATGATGATAATTGCTCATATGGTGATGACATATCCGACACTGAAAAAGATGATCATGTTGAATTCAAGAATCCAGCAAAGAGATCAGAAGACATTCTTTTATACAGAACACAAAATGGATTGATTTGCAGGGAGTTCCCTGTCAAGGAAACACACAAAGTTATCCGCTCAGAGGTAATCATCTTCATTCTTCACTTCTTTCTTTCATGGTGGCAAAATCGTAATTAAACGTACATCTAATCTCCCCCCTTCTTTTCTTTAGGATGAGAATGGAAACAAAATGGTGAATGAGTATGTTCGTGAGTATAAAATCGGCTCTGGTAGCTATGGAAAAGTGGTTCTTTACAGAAGCCAAGTTGATGGGAAGCATTATGCAATTAAGGTAATGCATTTTAGTTATGGACTTATGATATTCACTTATTCATCTTCCATTCTGATCAATTTTATGTTAAATCACATGAATTTAGGCATTTCACAAGTCTCATTTATTAAAGCTAAGAGTTGCTCCATCAGAAACTGCCATGACTGATGTTCTTCGTGAGGTATTTAAATATTCTCCTTTCTTTTTTGCTCTTTTTCTTTATATATATCTGTTAATGATGTTTTATAAATTATAAACTGAGTTGCAGGTTTTAATAATGAAAATGTTAAACCATCCAAACATAGTAAATCTGATAGAAGTGATTGATGACCCAAACACAGATCATTTCTACATGGGTATGCAACATTTAACAGTTAACACCACTACTTTCTTTGACCCTTTGAATCCATGTATTTTTTTTTTAAAATGTTTTAATCTTTACTTTCAGTTCTTGAATATATCGAGGGCAAATGGGTCTTTGAGGGATCTGGACCTCCAGGTGGCTTAGGAGAACAAGTTTCAAGGAGTTATTTGCGTGATATTGTATCTGGTCTTATGTATCTCCATTCTCATGTATGTCCTTTTATATATACTCTTTATTTATTATTATTATTTTAATCAGGTGTTAGAAAGTTATCCATCTTCAATTGGACAAGAATTGTACTTTTTTTCTATATTTTTTAGATGTCGACAAGACTTGCATATATATATATATATATATATATATATATATATATATATATATATATATATATATTCTTTATTAGAAATTAAGGAAAAAATTGCCAACTTGCCACTAAAATTTGAAATTTTCTTAACTAACTCTTATGAATTCTTCAGTTTCTTCCTCTTTTTTTGTCTTTTAATAAAACATTGTATCCCATGTTTGTTTTTTATGGTTAACATTTCTTGTAATTTTCTATTTTTGCTATTAAAATCTATTTAATAGTTTGGGATAATCCAAAACGATCTGTTTCTTATGTATTTAATTGGGTTAAATTCAAATATGAAATGATTTTCACTGCTATTTTTCAAAAGTAGTGTAAAGATTGGTATTTAGCTCTTTATTAGTATTCCATAAAAAAGTGCTACAAATTATTAATCTTGCATTTTTTTTTATTGTGTTAGAATATCGTGCATGGTGATATAAAACCTGATAATCTTCTTGTTACTGCCACTGGGACTGTAAAGATTGGTGATTTCAGTGTCAGCCAGGTTTTTGAGGTAATAAACTCAAATTCCCAAACTACCCTTGTTGATTTTTTTTTTAAAAAATTTGGTGTCATATTTATCTTGTGTTAACAGGATGAAAATGATGAACTTCGTCGTTCTCCTGGAACTCCAGTTTTCACTGCTCCAGAATGTTGTCTAGGTAAGGCTAAAATAGTCATATAAAAGTTTTCAAAATCGGTTTAAATGCAAGAAATAGCAACCTACTTTTGTTTCTTTAAGATCTTTCCAATTATAGTAATATCATCCACAAAAAAAAAATCAAAATTTCACTGCTATAATTGGATTGATTTTTCAAAATACAATGCCTTAATAAGAAAAAGGGTTAATATCATAAAAGACCCTAGATTTTGGGTTTTTTCAGAATTAGACCTCAACTTTTTTTTTTCTTAAAAAAGACCTTGTTTTTTTTTTAGACATTTTTTCTGAAAAAAACCTCAAAAATTTCTCTTTATTTTTTCAGAAAAAAAGGGTTAACTTCGTAAAAGACCTTATATTTTGTGATTTTTCCGGATTAAGCCTCAAGTTTATGTTTTGCCTGAAAAAACCTTGTATTTTTTCATTTTTTCCAAACTGGCCCTTTCAGTTAATTTTTTCCTTATAAAATGTGAGGGTTTTTTCGAGAAAAACTAAAGAAGCTGAGGGTTTATTTGGAAGCATTTAGAAGGTTGAGAGTTTTTTTCGGAAAAAAAAAAACAAATTTGAGGGTGTTTTTTCAGAAAAAATGAAAAAATAAAAGTGTTTTTTTTTTTTTTTTTTTTTTTCAGACAAAATTAAAGTTGAGGTTTAATCCAAAAAAAAAACATAAAATATAAGTTCTTTTACTCTTTTATGAGACTAACCCAAAAAAAGGTCAAATGTGAGTGTTATTTTATTTTTTATTTTTTTTGGAAAATAGTGAAAATTCGACCAAGGTTTTTCCAAAAAAAAAGTTGTCTAAACTCTAAAACCTCCTAAAATTTTTTAGAAAAAATAAATAAATAAATAAAGTTAAAGCTTAATCCAGAAAAAACCCAAAATATAGGGTCTTTTATGATATTATCCCTCCCCTAAGACAAAAGTACAAAGTTGTAATAGAAAGAAAGCAAAGTATGATTATAAATTAATTAATAAATAGATAAGTGGCTATTTGTTTCTTTTAATAAATATAAATATAAATATAATAATTAATAAAGAGATAAGTGAAAGTAGATTGCTATTTGTTGTTTTTGATAGGTCTAACTTATCATGGAAAAGCTGCTGACACGTGGGCAGTAGGGGTTACTTTATACTGTATGATTCTTGGACAATATCCTTTTCTTGGAGACACACTCCAAGATACATATGATAAGGTATTTTTAATTTTCATTTTATAATATAGATTGAATGTTTGAGGGGCAATAACGTCATTTCTCCTTGTTTCTCAGATTGTTAATGATACTATTTGGCTTCCTGATGTTATGAACCCCCAACTCCAAAACCTACTCGAGGGTCTTCTCTGCAAAGGTCAGTCAGTTAGTCAAGTAAATAAAGAAAATGTAATTTAAAATATATATATATATATATATATATATATATATATATATATATAATTTTATGTAAATTCTCAGTGGCATTTTGGTAATTTTATGACAGATCCAACACAGCGGTTGACTCTTGGTGATGTGGCGGTCCATCCGTGGGTTGTGTTAGATGAGGGGCCGATACGTGAGTTTAAATGCTGGTGCAAGCGAGAGAGGGGAGAAAATGAAAATGTTGATGAGGGTATAACCGGTAATTTTATTGCTATTACTGACTGACTAAAAGTATAAGCTTATTTGTAATGTCAAAATTATTTGTTTTTTTTTTTTGTATAGTGAACTTTTTGTTTGGTTTTGAGGTTTTTTTTTAAAAGTAAACAAAGGGAGATTGTAAGAAATTGGAAAGAAAGTTAAATGTTATTTGGGATTTATTTGGTTATGAGTTGACAAACTGAAAGTAAGAATGGATTGAATTGCTACGTTTTTTTTTTTTTGTATATATTTTAGATGATAAGATTATATTTTATAAATGAAATGGAATATGCTTATATGCAATTGATTTAACAATACATTTTCATTTATATAAAGTTTATTCTATACAATAATAAGTTTTCTCTTATTTTTATATTGTTTTCTTATTTACATATGCAACAAACGACAGTTTTAATTGATTCAATTCTATTATTTTTTGAGTAAATTAGTTTCATTAAGTTCTTGATTTTTTTTCTATGTGATTTTGTTTAATCTTATCAAACACACCCTATAATAGTATCATTGGAAAAAATTGATCAGTTATTGTAGAAGATAATCATGAAAAATATTATATTTCGTAAATAGCTAAAAGAATATGACCATTTTTTAACAGATCAAAATGACCATCGAGGTCGAAAATTGATATTTTTGAAGTATATAGGATGAAATTCCTTATCATCATGTCTTTGTTTTTCTTTCTTTCTCTCCATTTTGTATTTGTTTTTGACATAAAAACCCTTAAGTTTTTCAAAAAAAAAAAAAAATCATGTTTTACCCTAAAACCACTTTTTGGTGCGTTAAAGCTGGATTTTTTTTAATGATTTTTTGCCCTTGTTACGTGTTATCATAGGTTTCCACATTACTATGAAATAAAATTTGCAAAAAAACCCTAAGTTATAAATCTTTTATGTTTTTTACCCTAAGAACAATTTCGAAATATATTGTAGTTTATAACTTTTGTAGCACCTTTTTTGTAAAGTAGTTTCAAACTCTTTTTTTTCCATGACAAAAAGCATGTTCGAAACTCAAAGCATGAGTTCACAACTTGACAACTCTCATACAAATGGGGTAAATAAGAGGTAGGATGGTCGACATCCCACGAGAAACTATTTCTTAGAAAACACCCGAAAAAAAGACAAATACAAATAAATATATCGAAGTACTAGTGATGTTTTAAGGGCCCATGAAGGGAAATTAGAGTATTTTATAGAATAAAGGTAGAATGTTATTAGGTACCATTATTGATCATTATATAAATTTTTTATTGTCTATTTTTTTCATATATTGTTTCTAATCAGTAATAACTTTTGAGAGGACATATGAATGCATCCATCATAAATAGGCTTTATGTGTTGTGTTTCATATTGAAAGGTGTCATCTGATTGGCTACCAAGTTCATGGATTTCATATCGGTTCCCTATCATTAAACTGTGACAACTCGAAATTTCTAACGTGTACATTCTTCATTTTCATCAAAGTTAGCATCGTTTCGCTATTTTGTAATGAAGTTTTGGGTCTATATGAGTGCTTGAGACTTAGTATAACCTTGATATGAGTCTTAGGAAGGGTGAAAAATGTGTGTAGCATCACTAGAACGGGCCAAACACACCTAGCGAGGTGTGTGCGGCCAGCCAGCCGCACACAGCCAACCGCACACCCTCCTAGCCTCACACTCCAGCCTATATAAAGGACCCTAAGTCAACCATACACCCTTTTTCACACTCCTTCAAAGCTGGAACATTTTCTCTCAAGAGTTCTTCAAGTTTTCCTCTCCAATCATCAAAACAAGTAAGTAAACATCCTTAGATCATTACTACAACACATTATAACGCCTTTTCCTCGAGTTTGATCCATGAAATCATCATTCTAGATGATCTTCATGTGTGTACGGCCGCACACACATCATGTGTGACCGCACACACATCTTTTGGTCCTAAAATGGGCTTAAACACTCATCCAAGCTTAGCATCGAGCAAAACACCTTCTTAGGATCATCACAAAGCCTTGGAAAATCGACTTGGTCACATTTGTAGGAGTGTGTACGACCGCACATAGGCCTGGCCGCACACACCTGGCCGTACACGCCATGTGCAACAACACACACCCTTTTAAGGGTCCAAAATGGCAACCAACTCCCAATCCGGTTAAGCAATGGTCAGAACACCTTCACTAGAACATCCCAAAGGCTTGGAACCACGTTTTTTACACACTCCATAGTGAGTGTGCGGCCGCACACTCTGGCCGCACACACACACAAAACCCATGCTTTTGTGGCCTTACACCCCAATATAGGGCCATACACTCCTTATGTGCAACCATATGGGTTGGTAACACTTAATTCTAAGTGTTTTTATGTCCTTAAGACATGTCCCTATCACCATTAGTGGTTATATCTACTAGTGTATTCATATAAGTGTTATTACATGGAAAATAGGATTCGTTTGTGCTCAAGACTTCAATTGACACCCGACGATCCTACATCGACCTTTCATTTGAGTTACTCACTGCTGGTGAGTTCATACCCCTTAATTAACCTTTTAAATGATTTTAAATGCTTTTATGGGGGGGGGGGGGGGGAATACAAGTTTAACATTTCTAGTTATTGCTTTAATCACATGTGATTAATAACTAGAACAAACAGGAAGATTTGCTACTACTTTCAAATTGCTATCAAACTTATGGATTTTCAAGCTTTCAAACCTTTTATTAAACTCTTATGATGCTAAAACAGTTTTCAAACTCTTTTATACTTGTAATATTTTCAAATCCATATCTACACCAGTATATTTATTTAAGATTTAAAGGACCTAGGACTGATAGCTCACCTTATTTCCTGTTCCTTGTTTGGTTGTGGACTTAGGGTACCCTGTTATTTGTCCGAATGTCGTTTAATTCTTAGTTATATATCATATATGTATGTGTAGGATATAAAAGCTTTCACTTCAGTTCAGTACCTTTGTGTAACAAAGGCATCCAAACAATCTTACTATTTAACTATTATAGGTATAGTTAAGGGATTACTACTCACTACTACTATTACAACGACCCATACAAGAGTCAATACATTTATGAGCCACTACAAAAGTACTACATTGAATAACAGAACATACTATACACTATACAAGAGAACATACTATACACTATACAAGAGAACATACTATACACTATACAGACATGAAATACTAAAACAAAATGTGACATACTACTTCTCGATACGACACTTCATTGTGCTATCACCGTGTAACCAGAGTCTCCTGGAGGGAGAGCGGGCATTATGTGTATAGATCTATATGGGACAGACACTCCCACATCCCGACTGCTAGCTACAGTCTGAGTCGACTAGGCCCAGGGGTGACAAAATGTCACCATACTACGTGTGACCTGGAGGGTCATCAGTTATTCAGCCGTCGATTAGCATGGTTACATACGAGTTCACATTCAAACCTTAAATTAACTAAATAAGGATTTAAGGCAAAAATAGACTTTTCGAGGCGTACCGCCTGGAGTCTACATATTTTACTATGAACTTTTCGAGGCGTACCGCCTGGAGTCTACATATTTTACTATGAACTTTTCGAGGCGTACCGCCTGGAGTCTACATATTCTACTTTGGACTTTTCGAGGCGCACCGCCTGGAGTCTACATATTTCTACTTTAGACTTTTCGAGGCGTACTGTACATTTAGTACTACCTGGAGTCTGTATTTCATTACTTTGTGAGTTTGTCACATACTCGTTTAAGAAAACTACATTTTTATACTAATAGTTTTCACTGGGGAAAACCCTTATAATTACAAAAGAACAATCATACAAACAATCGGGTCTTGGTAGAAGACTACCTTTTTACTGGAAAACATAGGGTTTTCTAGGGAGTATACTATATCCAAAACATTTGAAATCAATTACTACACTACATTGTTACTAACGTTTTTATACAAGCAATGACACTAAATACTTATGAACTCACCGGCTTTATGCTGATACTCGCTTTCAAAATAACTTGTATTCTCAGGTCATCAGTAGACAGGTACAAATGAAGCTTTTGAGAAGATGGAGCACATACAAGACTCATCTTTTATTTTGATTATACTTTTGGTGTCTTTCAAACTATACAGAACACGCTTGTATTACAATTATTATATTAATGCAATGGATGTTGTTGCTTGTCTTTACTACTATGCATTGTTATGATACTGTACATGACGTCCTCCACCCCATAACGTTTCCGCCGTTCTCGGTTTTGGGGTGTGACATAAACCAAGTAAGTTTACCAATGCAAAAGAGATAATATTTTGGATTAAAATCAATGTCCTTGATGATTAGTAATGGGCAAGGATACAAATCTTGAAGGAGATGTTGCCAAAAATGGAAATTGTTAGACTAATATTGGAACATCTGAAAAGGAAATCGTTCTATGTGCTTTGTAAAGGATAATAAAGAGTATTTTAGTAGATTGAATTAGACAGGAGCTGGAAATTGTATCAAATAAGATAAGAGAAAGATATGAAAGTATATTATTATTAATGATGATGTAGTGTATTAAAGACTAACCACATATAAAATATTTAGGGCATTATGGTTCATTTTTAAGAAATCTTATTCAAAACATGCACTTTTAAACAACTTATAGGTAAGAAAGTAGAGCCATAGTGAAATAAACCTATTTTATGTCTCTGTCGTTTTGTTATATGTAGGTTATTGTTTCATGGGATGATTGTCTAAATTGATGTGATTTTCATCTTTCTTTGTTGTCATGGAATGAGTACTTGCCTATGTGGTTATAAAGAACTCCAAAAATGGAAATTTTACATCTATTGGCCTCGTCAAATGTTGGATTGATGGATTGATGAAGCAAATAGACTCGCCTTTCACTACTGCAAAACAAGAGCATTACGGACGCCCAAAACCATCGCTAATCCGCCTGTGCTACTGTAATTTCTTGTCGGTATTTTAGCGACGGTATTCCAGGGTAAAACTGAAGTACATTGCAACGGATTACCCACAAATAATGGGATGGATTTAAGCTCTACAAAAACAATTTAAATTTCATAAAAGTCCAAAAAAAGTTCTATATTCAAAACATAAAAGTTTGAAACAATATACATCAAAATGTAGATTTTAAAACTAAGGAAAATCAAACTTTTGGGAAAAGTTGCAATAAAGTTCTAAGAGTGTTTTTTTGAACAGAAAAGTCTCAATTATTTAACATTTTGCCCAAATTA